GACAGTGGATTCCGGTTAATTGGGACACATCGGGACTAGAACACTTTGGCCCAATTAAGCGGCTGCCCCAATTAACCGGAATCTACTGTACATACTTTCATCCATTTAACATCTGAATAAAAGACTGTTATAGAGCAGTGGATAGAATCATATGAAAAGAGGATTTGATGAGTAATGTGCTTAAAATTTGCTGTGTGAGTAATACAAGGTAAAGGCATATATATTTTTGTAGTATGATGTTTTTAATTTATCCCTTTTTATGCATACCACATTTTCAGTTATTTATAATAGATTTTAACATTGTGTATATGTATGTTTCCAGCATGTTTAAAATGGTTTCTATGCATGTTCATTTTCACCACTCCCTGGTTTTTATTTTTATTGGGTGCATGACATAATTTTGTTTTATTATTTTATTACACACTATATTGTTTTTTAAAGTAACACCCTTAGTGTCCACAGTGTGAGCAATCAATTATATTTCTTATACATTAGTCTCTTTGTTTAAAATTTTCTGCATGGATTTGAGAACAGAAAAATTTTATAGATCATGGATTGCTGTCTTCTGGTTTATGATATCATTTAGTCTTGTAAGTAGTTCTGCTCTGATGATGGAAGCAACAGGATCTTCTGAAACATTGATGAAAGACTCTCGGGCTACAAACCGCGTCAGGTGGCTGAAAGATGAACAAACCGTATCTTCTGCTAACGTTTCGAGAACAATCTCTGTTCTGTGTAAGATTTGAGTTTTTCACAGCAGTGAGTATGAAGATTTCTGTCTTCTGGGTTGTTGCGCTGTGTAGAATGGTCGATGTTTACCAACGTTTCAGAGGTCATACTGCCTCCATCATCAGGGCAATGACGGAGGCAGTATGACCTCTGAAACGTTGGTAAACATCGACCATTCTACACAGCGCAACAACCCAGAAGACAGAAATCTTCAATCTCTGCTCTCATTCTCAGGGATGCTGGGTAACCAGTTCATTCCTTCGTTGCATGCCAGTTCCCATCAGCTTGTAGCCCGAGAGTCTTTCATCAACTTCAGTCACTGCGAAAACTTCACTTTATACTTCTGAAACATTGTTAACTACCCACAAGACTTTATGGTGTCGTAACCAAGAAGACCACAACCCACAGTCATACTGCAGTGAGAAAACCAAAAATTTAATTAAGAATCCTGTGCACTTTTCTAAGTTTTAAATTTAATGGGTTAGAGTCAAGATGTGAAACATGATTTCATCACTTTAATGGCCAGAGGACGTACTTCTTTTTCAAGTCCTCTGCTGAGGAAAACTGGAGATTTGTTTGGAATTCCAAATTACTTTTTGTAAATTATCAGTTTATTTTTCTGTCCTATCGATACAACCACATAAAGATGAATGCATAAAACCTGTCATTGTTTCAGTGTTGGTGCACAGTCTTGTAATATTTGATAGGTAACGACTTTAATAATTTTGCATTTCGTACCGTATAGTCTTTCTGTAGCTGTGAATAAGTAAATCATTTAGTAGCTTCTTCTTGAATAATAAGTGACTGCTAGTGAACTTGTAGGCCACATTTAAACTGGTGTGAATAGGCTGGTAGAATCCAATGTAGTTAATCTGAACTAAAACGCATCAAGAAAATAACATTTTCAGCTGCATAAATCTATTAGTGTTGCCAACACCTATTTGTAACACATGATGGGCGTATCCTACCATTTTAATTTAACAATCTTAAACCAAAGCTCATCTAAATATTTAAAAATTTGGCTCTTTAAAGAAAATATAACGTGTCTCTATTACAAAGATAAGTTTGATAACACTGTTTAAGGAAATAATTGCTGTTTACTCAATGAATCATATGGGATCCATAAGTACATTCTGTGGGTAACACGTAGAGTTTTATACAATATCAGCGTTTGGGGATAAGCCATTTCATATGTTGAATATAGAATATCATGTATATATATCTACCTTTTGTGGACATGTAAAGAAATAATGTATACAAGAACTTTAATTAGTTGCATTGATATCAGTAATTATTATAAATATTCAGAACCTCCATTGCTGCACTGTTGGCATCGAGCCCTAATAGAAGGAAAATTAAGGTAGGGAGTGGAGTAAAATAAACATGCATATGAATTAACAGCTCTCAAAATTATAAGGAGTGATTTTATATTTCATGGCCACGCCAAGTTTGGAAGGACGGTGTCGCGACCTGCTAAATCCGAGTAAATGCAGCTGTGATGGGGCATACTTAAAACATGTACAAGAAAGGTCGGTTACTGCCTACATCGTTTCTAATATCCTTTCATCTCTATTAGCTTTAATTGCCATTTTAATCTTGCATAGCTTCAGGTAATCTTATTTAATAAACTCAATTGAAGGTTGTGGATTTTTATACCCATGAAGAGCAACTAACCCTAGGACCATGAAGCTATTCTGTAGTAATAAATACAAGCATGTCACTTTAAATATGAAGTTACAAAAGTTGATTGAGACCTCTTAGTAATGAGATAATTCATTAAATAGTTTGGGGAACAGATTTACCAACATGGTAAACATAAAGTTTGGACTTGTAGCAAAGGAGATTCGTACTACAGCATGAGCTTAACAAATTAATGGCAAAATATTGGGTTTTAACCAGTTAATTTACTTACTGAAGCATTTACTTGAAAGCCATGGATTTAATGTGTTATGCAATCACTTGTTAACAAAAGTTGCAATGTCAGGTTTCTGTTTCTGTTCACAGCCCCTTCCCCCCCCCCCATTAGTCTTTGCATCAATAATATAAAGTACATGGTGACTAAGCAAGTTGAAACAACTTATCTTTATTTCATCTTATTGTTTGATGTTAATTATTTTCATCTAATGTTTTATTTCAATCATTCACACAACTCTTTTGGTTGTAGAATCTTGGGCCATGTCACTTTATTGTGGTGGGCTAGTAAACTGATGTTTTGGAGAATCTGGCCGTGTCCACATCTGAGACAAAGGCTAGGTTCGCTAACACACTGATAACCAGCCCATCACAACATAGTGTCAGCACTCGAGAGCAGAAATATCAGTTATAAACTGCCATAAAAACCTGTATTTTGAAAATATGCATGGTTTCTCATTTGCTTTGTTTTGTTGTTGTTTTCTCTCCAATAATATATTGTTTTCTTGTTTGGTTTTGTATTTCTTGTTGCATGTGTATTATTATAACACTTTATCTTGATAAATTTGCTAATATAAAAATAGATAATTGTGTTTCGAAGTACAAAGATATACCCTTGATGTTAGTTACACACACAACAGAATAAAAAAACACGTCATGTACAGTTCTTTGTGGGTTGGTACTTTACATATGTCATTTGTTCCACCGTTCTAGTCTTAAAGATTTGTGTAGAGGTTACTTGTTCAAGAGGGCAGCACTCTTTATATGTTCAGAAATAAGAAATGTATTTTATTATCTCTTTGTTTGAACAACACCTGTACAAAGTTCAGTAGGTAAACATGTTATACATTCCCTATCCAGAATTGTTTAAAGGAAGGAGATGCTTTGTCAGCATTGCTTTTCAGTTTTTGTTAACGTTAAATAGAATCAGGAAGGATAGGAACTGAATGGTACACATAAACAGCTGATGTTTTTATGAAGTGAAAACATAAATAACATAAAGAGAAACATAAAAATGTAGTTGAATGGTCACGTCACATTACCAGAATACAGACACAATTGTAATATAAGAATAATAAATTCTGTGAAAATTTGGTACAGTTAAGTACTTGAAAATGGCACTAATAGACCATAATGATGAAATTAAGGGCAGATTACATTTGGGAAATATGTGTTGATGCCGAGTTCCACAATCTTTTAGTTTCAAAACCTAAGTATTAAAATATACATATATAATGATATTTTTAATATTGTTATAAAACTTCGTCTTTCACTCTTGATGAAAGGATATAGATTTTCTGGGTATTTGGGAACAAAGGGCTGGTGAAGGAATTTGTATCTGAGAAAGACTAATAAAGAAAGTACTGCAGAAAATTACATTATGAGGAACTTCATAATTTGTCATTTTTATATTATATATTTTGAAGGGGTATTGTGCTTTATCTTCTTTCTTAGTTGTAAGAATCGGGTTATCATTTTATCAATGTTGAAGTTCTCAGATTCAGATTAAGGAACTGTTGCATTCATGTACAATGCATCTACAAAAATTGTGGATTTCCACTTCCTACAATGATAGAACAAAGTGTTCTGTATCATCAGTAGTACACAATCTCAAATATTAGTATCCCCAAAATTGAGAACTATTGCATGTGAATGTTTGTTGACCATGGGTTTAGTATTTGCTTGATATTAAAAATGAGCGAGCTTGGATGTAGTTCAAGTGCTTTTGGTTCTGGCTGAGTTCTCTTAAATTTAAATAACTTTTCCTTCAAAGGAATAGCCAGCTGGGATTTTGGTGTGAGGAGGATGCCTATCAGAGTGAGAGATATAGCAGACTCGAGAACAAGAGGTTTCAACCTCAATAAAGAATATTTTTGTTGTAGCTTTGATGAATTCAGTTCAGTTTTATATATCACATTTTTGTACCAAAATGTAAAATTATATTAAATTTCAGTCATTAAGATCTATCAGTTACAGTTTGCTTGCAAAAGAGAGAATGACCTCATTTGTAATTAATGCAAGAATGGTTCAGGTAACATTCCTATAAAAATAATGTTGGTTTATTGTACATAAATAAGATTACAAAGGAGAAAGAACAAATGTAAACTGCCAAAAATATTTTTGTTCTTTTGTAAACTGACATTGTTTCTGTTGGAAAGTGCTCTTTCCTGTTTTTAACAGTACTTTTCTAACAGTAAATTTGCAGTAAAAATATAACATCTATGTATTAGCGACATATGAAATACATAATTATGAATTATAGGATATATTTATTGCATGAAATGTGACTGGTTTGGGTTGAAATTTGTATTGTAGCAAATCTGTGTTGTATACTGAGTTGTGTTACATTGGGTGTACAGCCCAGTGCCATTCCAGCGCGCGGTATCATGGCGCCCACCATCGGAGGCGACAGCTCAATCTCTCGGCAACGTCCGGAGAACGCACTCGACGCTCTGCTAGATGAGCTTCAGACATTTGCTCGACCACCTTCTCGTGCTAGCAGTGGCCATAACCCTCCCATGGCAGACATCGGCCGCAAGGGGAGCATCGACTCAGCACACACACATGCCCCTACTCTTCCTTCCTCAACTGGTACATCATCACTACGACGTCTTCATTCATATCCTTCTAGTTCAGACGGAGGAGGAAATTCCCCACCAACAGTTGCTTTAGCTCGCCTCCAGGTTTCTGGAAGCAGTGGTTCAGATGCACCAAAATCACCTGCCAGTTCTCCAAAACCTCCAGTTCCTGAACGCAACTCAGAACTCCTCTCTCACCTTGCGGGTCGTCGTATTCCTCCACCACCTCCACCTCGTACCAGCTCACGATCACCCTTAGCATCTCCTACAAGTCCCTCTTTACCTCCTAGAGGCCAACATCCTCCCAGCCAACCACAAATGGGTGTTGGAGGAGGAACCTTACTCAGAAGAGGCGGGCCTGGACGAAGCAGTCTCCGGGAACCTCTCCACGGAACTCCTGGCATCTCAGTGTCATTATCTACTGCCATGTCTAAAGAAGACCCAAACCAGCCTCAGTCAAGCTTCAATCCCCTCTCAGTCAGCAACAGTTCAAGTTGTGAGAGCATCAACTCCCAGGAAGGCCTTCAGCAGAACAAACCTGTGAGTACAAGCAGCAATACTGGTAATAAGGCTCGCCAGGAGATCTTGGAGCAGCGACATCAGGAGCTACTCCGCAAACAGCGAGCATTGCAAGAACAGTACGCTCGTCTTCAGCAGCTCCAGAGGAGTGGGGGAGGTGGATTGGCTGTTGTACCACCTCCAGACTTGGTCCTCAAGAAGACTGGCAGTGAGAGTAACTTACTGGCCAAGATGGGACTTGGTCATGGTCTTTCAGCGGCTGCTCCCATCTCAGGATCGCTAACTCATCTTGCTGCAGTGGCTGCCTCTGCCAACCAGCAGCCTATCAGGGCACAGCAACCGCAGAAGCAAGCAGTAATCAACACTGCTTCAGCGACTGCAACAACCAACGCGCAACCAAGCACTGCTACAACTAACAAAATCTATGAAACAGACATCCTGTGACTAAGCATCATTTTAATAAAAGTAGTCATTGTAATAATATTTATAACAGTAGTAAGGAACATTTCATGGATACAGAAAGAGGAAATTATCAATTGGCAACAGCAGAAGTTCTACCCTGAGAACATTTTAAGTTCATGAAATTTTATTTCCATGCCAGCAAGACTCTCCCAGTGACTTTATTTTGTAGTGTTTTTACATAGTTGTTTATAGACTAATTCTAAGTGATTTTAGTGCCAATTAAATTATTGCTAAGAGGGAAGTCAGAACAGCAATAGGTCTCTTTAACCCCTTCAATGGCAGTTTTTATATGCACTCTTTAATTGCTCTGTGGAACATATTTTTTATGAAAATGGTGCTTTTATTAATTGAAATCTTTATACAGTGCTTGGACAGATACTGCCATCCCTGGATAGTTTCAGGATGTTACATCACATCCTGAGTTATTTCATAATGCTGTAGAAGGGGTTGAAGTGGTTGAAGTTTGGCAGTGCAAAACTGTGCCCTGAGAGGAAAGTGTGGTGACACTGCAGTTGATGGGTTAGAAGCCTGTTTTTTCTTATTGTTTCAAACATGAAGAGTTAAGTCTGAATATAGTTAAGCATCTAGTGAGTGATCTACCTGAAACATTAGGTGATGTACTTAGGTAGAAATGTGGTAAGGAAATTCAAGTGCTGGAACAACCCCATCTCCTCAAAGGGCAGGTAGATAGTAACTGCTCTGTGGCCAATTGTGGTAAGCTGTAGCAATGCTGTATTTCCTTGTTGAGATATTGGAATCAGCCAAATGCAGTAATTTTCAATTAGTCACATGGTAGTCATATGGTAGAAACCATAAGAAATGAAAGAATTTTGTTGAGGGAGGATCTTGAGTATTATACTGCCTCTGTGTTACATTCTTCATTTGAGGAAGAAAACTCAGATTTGGATGTAATTCCTCTTATTGCAAATGGTTATTTTCGAATTTTTGCATTATGCAATGCACTAACCCAGTCAGAATGTGGAAAATTAAACTTCTGTTTTTGTTGTAATTTTTCACCATTCCTCTAGGTCAAGGGTTCTCACCCTTTTTCGCTGGTGTACCACTAATTCTAATTTACCACTCTGAATGTACCACTTCCCAAATGCGTTAAGGAAAAATTTATTTATGTTAATATTATATAAATGAACTGAATTGAATTATCTTTTGATTTTCTTACTTAGTTCACGTACCATTTAACATTTGCTCACGTATCACCAGTGGTACGCGTACCATAGGTTGAGAAACGTTGCTCTATGTGAATCTAAGGATGGTATCTAACCCAGTATGCCCAAACTGCATTTTTATACATTCCTCTACATGCTGTTTTTGGGGTATCCAATTTTAATTTTGGCCAGGATCTGGATATCTGGCCTGAGGCTTTTAATGGTCTTCCTCAGCCCCTACAGATATCTTGAAATATTTTCTCCAGTGCTTTCCAATGTACCATAACCCTCTCTTCATTCGTTTTGATCCTATGTAACATGTTGAGTTGATATATCATTCATGATATATGGAATACAAAAATGGTAGGTTCAGGCTGGTTGATTCACAGCACATATCTGAGTAGTGTAAATACACAGAGCTGTATTTTTAAATACAGTAATATATTGGCTGTCTTCAACCTCTGATCCTAAATGTACCGCATGGCTTAACTGGATGAGAATATTTCAAATGTGATTTTTACCAAATATATACCAGTAAACTTCTCAAGACTTAGGAATATAATGTCTTAATTTGGAATGTCTCTTTTGGTTCAGTAATGGGCGTCATTGAAACATACTGTAGCAACCCTATCAGTGATGAGTTTATAAAACTGATCATAAATTTAATGCAAAAATTAATTTTAAATGAATGGAGATGATTTTAGGTCATGGGAATTTTCTGTACATGTAAATGAAGTTGGTAATCAACAACAAAAGGATAGAAGAAGGTGGCTGTCTTCTGGGTCGTTGTGACGTGTAGTCTGGTTGAAGTTTACCGACATTTCAGAGGTCCTTGCTGCTTCCATCACCAGCTCTCTCTTTCCTTCTCTTCATCTGTCTGTCTCACGCTGCATCAAGCCCCCGCACTCCAATTTTTTTCCCACACCCTTGCCTTATTCTGACACCAGTCCCCACTGGTTACATCAAGGCTCTTCCTTGACTGTCATTGTCCAATAACTCTGACCGTTATAACTCGCGCAGCTTACTCAAGTCCCTAAAATTACATTTGTTTCTGATATGCCTAGTCAGGAAAAAAATTCCCAGTTAACCAAATTTCTTTGTGATACAATTTGTCTCTCAGAGTGTACATTTTTATAAAAACATGTTTTCAGTCTTTAAAGTAAAGATCTATATAAATGAAAAGCATGGAAAATTGGCAGTGCAAGGCATGTTTATGTATGGTGCCACTGCTGAATTGCTACACCATTTATAACATAATATGGTTTATGTATCTTATCTGTGATATGTTTACTGTATTATGGTTTATATCCAAAATGTGGATCAAGGCAGGTTTTGGCACCCCCAACAGCATGTCACATTTCTCTTGTGTACCTTACCAAGTAGAATATAGTCCAATTCTTACTTTGCAATGATTTGCAATTAATGTCTGAAAGGTATAGAAAGGATTACATACAAGAGTGAGTGTCAGAAAATATGTTTACCTTGAAACGAACCAAGTGTCGGGTCAGATGAAACTTCTCACTTAGGACTGAGAGTATGGTAATATGTTGCTTGGAGCAATGTCAGAATGATGATTAACAAGGGAAAACTGAAAAATTTGAAGTCATCTGGGATTTGACTTACGTCTCTGCAGTGAGAAGCCGTTGCCTGAGCTTTGGCATCACGGAAAACAATGCAGATAGTATACAAAATATGTTCATTCTCTCGTTTTAAATTTTCTGACATAAGATCAAGGTGGCAGTGTCCTCCCTTCACATATGATTTCAGTTCTTGTTTCAACCACACATACCGACTTTCAGCCTGACATTCATCATGCGTTATCGAGGATTTTACAGTACTTGCTGTCCCTTCATTAGACAAGGATTCGGGCTGCACTTGGTTATGCAAATTTTTGTTATTCGTTTGAACTTTGTATCAATAAACAGTGTTCATATCAGCATTAAGTCCTTCCTAGCCTGCTACTCCTTTGTACCGGTTATAAAATATTTCAGTTTAAAACAAAAATAGTATAACCTTTTCTTTTGCCACATTGCAGTATATAAAGTGAGGCCATATTGAAAAGTAGTTGAAAAAATTGACGGTTGTTGGAAACTTTCCTTGCTATCAGTCAGACTAGTGAATAACATGCCGCAGTATGCGTTTATACAAAGATTTCATATCGATTTCCACGTTAGCAGGTGACTTAAACTCTCACATACACCAAAGTAGAGAATGATTGTTCTATTGATGTCATTATTTTTTATTTTTCATCATAATGTTTAAAATGATAATGGAGAACAAAAACTTTTGTCAATCAATTACAAAAAATAAATAAAAATATTACCTAAAAAGTATATTTGCTCAATATGAAATAACATTACATCAGTTCATGTTTATTGTTACTTAAAAAAAACCACACTTGACCTGAGTGAAATTGTATGGTTGATGAAATGTTCTTCACAATCTCACACCCATGGACACATTTATAAGTGCAGTGTAAGTTGAAGACAGAATGCTTGAATGCTTTCCATTTCTCCTTTTTGAAAATGTCTTCAATACCTGCAATACACTGTTTCAGAAATCTCAGCACACTTTATTAATTAAAATAATAATTTGATAGCAAAGTGTATACAGAAATGTCTGCCTTTGCCACATCAAAACATAGATGGTAGTGAATATTCTTTCTCTTTTGAAGCTGTTGTGCACATGTTGATTTGTCGAACATTGAGAAGAGATAACCCTCAAAATTATTGCCATACTGACTGGATGCCCTGAATTGTGGATTTTATGTATTTTAAAAGGCCTCATCAAGAACATGTTATGAATGTTATCAAGTTTACATGAACCAAATAGATGTTGGATTATTGTGTTTCTTTTGTTATCATAGTTTAATCTCTTTTTATCATTAAGTTTTACAGGTAGTAAGAAGCAGATATTTTATATTATGTGTAGTAACGAACCCAATGTGTTGATACCAGGTATAATTTTGATAGCTTTCATTTAGCATTTCAGAGTATGTATTGTGTTATCTGGTTAATTGTAAATGTTTGTAATTAATCAAGTAAAAACAAATGCCTACTTTGAAGTGTATATTTATTACTTCCCATGCCATCATTAAATGTTTTTTGTTATTTAGAGAACAGCAATTAATTTAACTCTACAGAAAACAATTAAGTTATAAATATTGTTGGCTCAAAGCATTGTGCATAATGAATGTACAGGCTACGTTTGGAAGTAGAGGGCCATCCACTTCCAGTTTATCTGCATTTTTCAGTCAACCATTCAGTGCTGTACAACATGGCTTGAGTGAGGTATGCTATTGAACAACATGTATGCTTAGTGAAACGCTGTTTCAAATATGAGTCTACTGGAAAATGTCTTTGAAAATTTCAGCACAAATTTCCAGAAAAAAAAACAGTTCCGAGTAGACGAAGTGTACACTGCCTGGTCAGTGAGCTGTAAAGAACGGTCATTGCTAGACAAAAAGTCAGATAGGAAACTAACTGTTCTGACAGAAGAGATATTGGACAACGCTGGTGCTCGACTTGAAACTTCACCAAGAAAGGCCACAAAATTATTAAAACTGCAACAATATAAGACTATGGTAGTTAATGCTTTGAAGGAAACATGATCTGTTGCTTCATGATGGATAATTTGATCAGCATTTAATGTATTATTCTGATGAAGCCATGATTTCCTTACATGTAGAGGTGAATTTTCAAGAGTACAGGAAATTGAAGACTTATTCACAAACTTCTGTTTCATGATGAGTACATGCAGAATAATTATACATTTCTTTTATGTCTTTCCAGTTAATGCTGCCAAGTACATGTACATTCTAAGCCCACATCTCACTGAGACGATGGAAGGAAGGATATGTCGTTTCCTGACAGAATTCTGCAACAGCTGTTATGGTGTATGAGTTTGGAAGCACTGTGGGAGGTGACCACATAATTAGCCATGATCTGTGGCCCCCATGTTCCCTCAATTTAATAGTTTGTGAATTTTATTTGTGGGGAAGTTCAAAAGAATAACTTAATAAGCAACTTCTGCCATGAGACTTTAGCAACATCATTCTCATTGTGGTCGTAGCTTATTACTTGAACAGGGCGCTGTAGCATTACATTAATTTATTATTAATAACGGAAGTTTTTCAAGATACTGATCTGATTTATGAAGTTTCTGGGAACAGATTTCATTATAGTAAGTACCAAAAATGAAAAGACATCCTTGTGTTAGAATTTAATAATTGTATCTCAACTCTAACCATGCAGGATTTGGGTTTTTCACAGCTGTGAGTCTGAAGATTACTGTCTTCTGGTTTATTGTGCCATGTAGTCCAGTAGATTTCCACCGTCTCAGAGGTCATACTGTGTCCGTCATCAGGACAATGAATGTCAATAAACCTCAGTTTTTTTATCATAATTGCTATATACAGTGCTCTTAGTAATGTTAGGATAGGATACCACAGCTCACCATGGCCCTGATTTCAACACCACTGGACCAATTTCAACCGGTTTTGACAGATCAGTACAGGGTGCATTATGTTATCTTAAGTGACGTTAGGTTAGATAAGGTATAATGTGTCTGAAATGACGCTTATATCTGGGCATTATAATATACCGAGAGGTATAAAGAGGGTGAAACTGGGTCACTTGTGCTATAGCCGATGAACGAACAGCTGCACTGTTGTGGCCAGACTTCGAAGTGAAAATTTTGTATCAGAGCAGTCGAAGAAAAAAGAGCGGATCAGTGAAAACTGCCTAACAGATTACTTTTTTTTTTCCCCGTGAAGCCTTTATTTTGTTTGTCATATTCTAAATTAAGTCGAACAAAAACTACCATTCCTACTGATGTGGTGCCATCTGGTGATCGATTTCTTTACTACAATTTCTTGTTCTCTGGTGGTCAAACCCTGAACCGGGTCAATATAAGCATTCGTATTTGCTGTGAGAAGTTAGGTTGTGTACTTTGGTATATTATATTTTTGCCATTGGTATTGTGGTGCTGTTGTGCAGCGTTTACATAGTTTTTGGTTAATCGACTGGAAACTCGGATATTTGCTTAAAAGTACGTATGCACATTTCACGTCTAGGCACTTATGTGTAATGTGGAGTCTGCGTATTCGTGGGCGGTGATTCTGAAGATGGCTGTTTTCTAGTCTGTGTATTTCTTAAGGCACTTTCGTTAGGAATATAGTGCCTGTGTACTTTGTATACTCCTAGTACTAATATGGTATCAATGTTTATGAGCAGGAAGGTAGTGTTTATGTATTTCTTAAGGCAGTATTAAGTTGGCAAAAGTTACGTCGTCGAAGAATTGTCACTATATTATGGCCACATATGTTTTTGAAATTATGGTTTAAAGTGTTGAGTGCAAGGTAAGTCAGGTGTAGCCTATATATACGTGTATGGTTCTATTTTTTTGTGTGGAAATATAATTGCTGTCATGCTGTGAAAGGGTGATAAAACACTTTTCAGCAAGGGACTGAAGAATGTCACTGCAAGATTACACAGTTTTTTCCAGGGTCGCTCTGTCAGGAGTTATCCACTGTATGTTGGTTATATGGTCTGCATTGTTATCTTCAGATCTCTGTTAAATATGTTTGCTTAGGTTGTTTGTGCTTGGACAAACAGTTAAACTATTTACTTTCTTCTCTGTCAAGTTATACAGTTTTGTGCCTGAAATCATTTATGTCACATTCTGACAAACAGTACACACTTTCTGCAGCCAGCACATACTATTTTTTTTTGCCTATCTCTGAATACTTTGAAAATACGGAGATAGAGCCCCATTTCAGAAACGTCGTTTCTATTTTATTATTTTACTAGACGATGGAAAATATCCAAAGAACTTTTTATTTAAATACTTTTTCTGAACTTTGATATTAAATTGTCACCTTTGGGGTTTGTAATAAGAGGACTATTTTGTTGCTCAATGTCATAGTTTCTATAATTCTGATTTGTTACACATTCTAACAATTTATTTTCTTGTCTGCTATCCATTAGGTATGTCAATCTCACTTTTATTATTGAGGAAGTCTTAGAAATGTTTGCCTAGGGACACTTAATCGAACTTGTAATACATCAAAATCAGTAATCAATATCCTTTTGCTTCCTAGAAATATACATATATTTTTCCGAAACATGACATATTTAAACACCATCTTATAATCAGTAAATTTTCTTACAGAACTTGGGCAGATATTCCAAGTTGGATAAAGTTATCAGAAGTATGAGGCTACATCATTAGGATTCATGCAAGCCACTTACTTATGCAACCCACAAACCATCATGTGTGACGAACAAGATGTAAAATTAGAAACGATTCAGCATTCTCCTGCAACAGAAGTGCCAATAGTTATGTTGCCGAAAGTTGAAGAAATTGTTCCTTCTCTGAAGGAAACCATGGTGAGTATTCTATGCTTGCGCGCACAGAAGACAATGCAGTCCTCCTGTTACTACATTTTCATGACTCAGCCTTTCTGTCTGTTTCTCTGTATTGGTCTCGATTGTTCCATATCCTTGCCACTTTCCTTGGTTTTGATTGGTCATTCCCTCTGGCCTGGTGTTTCTCCTAACCCTGTATAAACCATTCACATCATAACATCCTTACCACAGTCCTGAAGATGGAGGCAATATGTTCATCTGAAGAATTGGTATCTATCTTTGAGTCTGTATGGTATTGCAACCCAAAAGGCCAACATGAACATATTCACCATCTTGAGAACCTCAGATCTGAGATTTAGAAGTTTTCTTTCAGAACTTTTATTTGAAAATAATTGTCAGATTTGTCCTGAAACTATTTTATGTATGTTGCTTTCATGGCACCTCTGTTCTATTTCTGGAGCCTTGCATTTGTGGGATTTGATTTTTAGAAGTACATTGTGTGATCATTTATTACATGTACTGTTTCATGTTTTGCATTTGGACACGTACGGAATGTATTATTTAACAAAATTAAATTTTATCTTACAGCAGAATACTGTTGAAATCAAAGTAGAGAATGATGCCTGTGGTTTGAGTGAAGAAAATTCCATTGCCATAAAAACTGACGAGGTTTGCTTACCGTCATGTGCCTTTGTGAAGACCGAACCTGAGGTGAGACTTGTTTTCGTATGTCATTTGTGCTCATTCTTGTGTGTGTGTTTATGTTACAAGTCATGTATAATATAGCACCCCGTTTAGGGAATGTTTATAAGAGTTCAATAAGTATTAACAGAATTTAATTCTTAAACGGTCATTAATTAATATTAATTCTTCAACTTCATAATTTAATTGTGCTCTGCTCCTCTGTTGGTCTAGTCCTGTGAGTAAGGAACAAATTTGGTCGTATGACTTGGACAGTATATGAGAATTCATGATACTAATTTATTAAGATTTTATCACATATGTGATACAGAATAACATAGAATGCTTTTGCATTCCATTAAGAATATTGGGCCTCCAACAAGTGTAAACAATGGCTAAACACTGAAATATATTGCATATTTATAATCTGTTATTTATTTATATTAATAGTGAATAAGTTGTTTGGGGGAATGTAATATATCTGTTATTAACAGGAACGATGATTATCCTTATCATGAAATTTATACAAAAAGTCATACATGGCACTAAGTGGGGGTGAGTGGTTAGCGTCACGCCGTTGCCGCGCTTTACGCCCGGGAATGGACCCTGATGCCCATTGGATAGGAGGCTGGGTGGATCGCAGACCCGGTCTGGACGCAGAGGCTAGGAAAAATCCTCTGCCCCTGTTGGGGATCAAACCCCGGTCGTCCAGTCCGTAGCCAGTCACCACTGATGGTGATGATAATATTTAAAAACAGGTGTATTCTCTTAGATGTGGTGCAAGACAGTTACATGAAAGTGTATCCTATTTCATGTAATGAAAGAGCACAATCGTGATACACGTACAATGCTTTTACAGAACTATGTGGATTCACTGGAAGTGGAACCTGATTTGTATAGGGAGATGTGGTCACCTACTAATGATGGAAATGAGAGCATTAATATAAAAGTTGAGCCTGTCACAGATATACAAGAGGAGGAATATGAGGTATCAAAATCATTTCCATTTATGAAGACTGAAAATGAGGTGAGTTGTATGTGTGCTTGTTCGCTGTTACGCACTGTACAGGGCTAGTCTAAATGATGTTAAAAAAAATTAAATCTGTGGCGTAACAGCTCCAGAGAGCCAAAGCCGACTAGCTTGACTGCCGGCCTCACGTTCACATGCCTAAGCAGAGGTGAACGATCATCCAACCAGATATAGGGTGACATGTGGTCAGCACGGTGAACCCCCAACCATCGCTAGTTTTCATGACCGGATTACGCTACTTATTGTAGCTCCCCAATTTCGTCATGATGCTGGGTTGGCACCGGTCCCATACACTGGTCGAAAGCTCATGAGAAAATTTCTTCTCCCCCGAGACTCAAACCAGCGCACATGCTGTATCGCCGGTCCAAAGCATGATGCCTCAGACCGCGCGGCTACGGCGCAGGACAGTCTAAATGATGTTACCGATTTGAAAGACATGTTACTCACGTTCAATGAAATTCAGATGCACAAAATTGATACCAATGGAAAGAGAATCTCTCCAAGTTTTGTTTCAGTACATCACAGGTGTTCAATGTGAGCCCCCTTGGTAACTGCGTGTGAAACTTACACGGACCCGCTCCACTGTTTCCTTGCTTACTGATGGGCAGCCCGTTGACTTTCTCTTACAGATGCAGCCCCCTTTTCTTAAATTCAGAATACCACTTACGAATTGTATGCCCACTGGGTGGATCTGTCGCAAACTTGGTTTGGAAATGCCATTGCACACTAATAACAGACCGGTGAACATGTAAATGCAGGTCACAAAAGGCTCCCCTGTATTCGATGGCAGCCTTTTTCTCTCATATCACCCCTGGCGGCAAACAGTGTTACTACACTGCCGCAAAGTATACCAACATAAACTTGGAGAGTTTCTCTTTCCATCGGTACCAATTTTGTGCATCTGAATTTCATTAAACTTGAGTAACGTGTTTCAGATCGGGAACATCATTTAGACTAGCCCTGTATATTATGAAATGTATCCACACAACAAGTATATTGTTTACTTATGTTCTCATATATTACATATCTTAACATTTATTTTACTTGGTGACACATTTGAGATATAATTAGTCATCATTTGGCTCCTTGCAAACTATATTGTGATTGGTATTAAGCATGTGTAAAATAAAATCTAACCAATAAATATAAGAAGTATAAAAGCCACATATATAGTCATTATGTAATATGATAAAGTATGTTGTTTTTTAATGCGTGCAGTTAGTTAATTAGTTATCCGTAATTGACAGTTGTCTTTTATTTTTCTAATCGTTATTTGTCTCTATCCACATGAACAAATTCCACTATAGTATTTTTCAGCGGAATTGGCGGCTGAGTCGAGTTCTGCTCTTTGTGAGTGACCAATCAGCACAAAGAAGGTCTGTTGCTAGCCCTCAGTCTGTTCAGAATCCCTGTGGTAGAAGCATCGGCAGCCGCACTGCGTTGTTGCCAATTCTTACATGTTCTTTGCTTAGCGTTGTAACCATTCACTGGAAACCAATGTTCCACGATGCTACATCTGGCACCACTATTTTGTTTCCTCACCTTCTCGCCCCTCCACCTTCCACCACTACTTCCTACCATGGCACAATACATGTGATTGGTGCACACTTTAGCCGTCAATTCGGCTGAAAACTGTTATAATGTTTGTCCATACTGCCTGATAAGCTTTCTTTTAATGCTACTTCCTGCTTTTGAATTTCTCATACAGCGCCCAGGATCTGTAAATGTTTGTAAACTATAATTTATTTATTTTGTTGCCTTAGTATCTATCATAAATTGTGTTAGTGTTATCATTACTGTTAGGGGTCTTGTTCCACTATACACCATGTAGGTGCTTGGGGAGGCTTATAGCTCCTACTCATTCTTAACCTCAGCACCAGATGTGGGTGAGTGGTAAGCATCACGCCCCGGGCGCACTTTACCTCTGGAAGGGACCCTAGTACCCATTGGATAGTTAGGCTGTGTGGACCCCAGAACCAGTCTGGACGCAGAGGCTAGATGAAAAATCCTCTGCCCAATCAGGATCGAACCCATGTCATCCAGTCCATAGCCATTCACTATACTGACTGAGCTACCCCAGCTGTAATGGGATAAATTATGATTCTCTAAAGCAGCGTTTCTCAACCTATGGTATGTGTTCCACTGGTGGTATGCAAGCCAATGTTGAGTGGTACATGAACTAAATAAGAGAATCAAAAGTTAATATTAACATAAATAACAGTTGTCCCTGAAAGCATTTGGTTAGTGGTACATTTAACGTGTTAAATTAGAATTAGTGGTACACCAGCGAAAAAGGCTGAGAACACCTGCTCTAAAGGATTTGTGAAAATAGCTGACTTTCATATGGATATTTTGGACATCCTTAATTTACTGTATGTTTGATACACGCGTCATTTTGAATGTTTGCTTTATTCTCATCTTCAGGTGATCGTCATTACACTCACAATTTTTTTATTGCCTTTTTGAGATAAGTGGCAACAATTTGGAACAATGCTCTTAGTTCTACAGTGTGGTCACTTATAGAAGAAATATATTAGCTGATCTGTTATGCAAGCTCAGTTGGCAGATCTTGTTCACTTTGGGTTGCACACTATAGTTTCTTGCAACATTTATAGCTTAACTGACACTAAATTTCTGGCTTTGTACTAGGAGTTGGTAAAAACACAATTCTTTGTATGTAGTAATTATGGTTATACTTAGGTCATTATTTTTCCCATTAAGGATTTATGTAATGTTTCTTGCGTTCCCTTTTTTTAACAGATGACTCTGAATGAGCATCAGTTCATAGATAGTGAGAATCATCCATCTGCCTCTGAAGTAATTAATGAATCATTAAGCCGACAGAGTAATCTGAAGACGCATCTGTGCATATATAAGGGGGAACATCCGTATGCATGTGTTGTGTGTAATAAATCACTCTCCCAGAGAGGTCATATTAAGAGTAATTTACACGTACACGGTGGAGAGCATCTATATACCTGTGATGCGTGTAGTAAATCGTTCACGAGGCGCTGTAACTTGAAGAGACATCTGCAGATTCATAGTGGCGTGCGTCCGTATACATGTAACGTTTGCAATAGCAGATTCAGTCAGAGAGATCATCTGAACAGACACTTGCGAATTCATAGTGGTGAGCGTCCGTATACTTGCGACGTGTGTAAAAAATCATTCCGTGACCAGAGCAAGCTGAAGAAACATCTGCACACTCATAATAAGGAGCACTTATACGCGTGTGTCGTGTGTAATAAATCGTTCAGCGAGCAGAACGCACTGAAGATACATCATCGCATTCATAGTGGGGAGCTTCCGTATTCTTGTAATATTTGCAATAAATCATTTAGTCACCCAAATACACTGAGGACACATGCGCATATTCATAGCGGGGAGGAGCAGTATACATGTAAAATTTGCAACAAATCATTTGGTCAGAGAAGTTATCTCAAAGTACATCTACGCATTCATAATGGTGAACGTCCATTTAAATGTGAAGTGTGTAATAAATCGTTCACTGAGAAACGTAAAATAAATTCACATATGCGCACTCATAATAGGGAGCGTTTGTATGCGTGCATTGTGTGTAAGAAATCATTTAATGAGCAGAACGCGTTGAAGATACATCAACACAGTCATAGTGAGGAGCTTCCGTATGTCTGTATTATTTGTTTTAAATCATTTAGTCGCCAAAATACACTGAAGAGACATCTGCATATTCATAGTGGTGAGCGTCCTCATACATGTCACGTGTGTAGTAAATCATTCATTGATCGGAGTAAATTGAAAAGACATCTGACCATACATAGTAGGTAAAAAGTATAGTAAAGCTGTCCCACTGTGTACAGGATAGACGGTATAGCTCATACTCATTCTTAACCTCAGCACTAGATAGTGGTGAGTAGTCAGCGTCACGCCTCTGCCACACTTTACTCCTGACAAGAGGGTGGGTGCAGAGGCTAGAGGAAAAATCCTCTGTCCCCGTCGAAGATCGAATCCCGGCTATCTGGTCTGTAATCATCCGTTATACTGACTGAGCTACCCCAGCTCCACACATAGTAAATAGTATTCTTATTGTAGTGTATTTCAGTAATTGTATTTGTATCCTTGATAACGAAAGAATGGCTTTGTTTCCATCAGTTATACGATTGGTAGAAATTTATTCATTGATGTACTTGAGGCAAATGAAATAATAATACTTGAAGTAATTGCTCTTAATATATTTCAGTTTGTTGATCTAAATCACACTTGTTATATTGTTGACTTCTTCACTTGACACTTTCCTGTCTTATAATTACTGGACTCTGCAACCAAGCAGCTGGTTTGTCAGACTTCGCAAGTGTTTTATACCACCGCAGAAACTGTGACTTCTGGTGTCATAATTTAGAATTCGGTAGAACATCTGAGAGGCTAGTGCACACAGCTTACTGATATTGTTGGATAACGTGAAAGGGTAGAGGCCTTGCGACGAGCTGATCACTCGACCAAGGAGTCCTACCAAATGTGAGCGAGCAAACCAAGAAGAGAGGAAAAAAGCAATAAATCGTTCAGCGAGCAGAACGCACTGAAGATACATCATCGCATTCATAGTGGGGAGCTTCCGTATTCTTGTAATATTTGCAATAAATCATTTAGTCACCCAAATACACTGAGGACACATGCGCATATTCATAGCGGGGAGGAGCAGTATACATGTAAAATTTGCAACAAATCATTTGGTCAGAGAAGTTATCTCAAAGTACATCTACGCATTCATAATGGTGAACGTCCATTTAAATGTGAAGTGTGTAATAAATCGTTCACTGAGAAACGTAAAATAAATTCACATATGCGCACTCATAATAGGGAGCGTTTGTATGCGTGCATTGTGTGTAAGAAATCATTTAATGAGCAGAACGCGTTGAAGATACATCAACACAGTCATAGTGAGGAGCTTCCGTATGTCTGTATTATTTGTTTTAAATCATTTAGTCGCCAAAATACACTGAAGAGACATCTGCATATTCATAGTGGTGAGCGTCCTCATACATGTCACGTGTGTAGTAAATCATTCATTGATCGGAGTAAATTGAAAAGACATCTGACCATACATAGTAGGTAAAAAGTATAGTAAAGCTGTCCCACTGTGTACAGGATAGACGGTATAGCTCATACTCATTCTTAACCTCAGCACTAGATAGTGGTGAGTAGTCAGCGTCACGCCTCTGCCACACTTTACTCCTGACAAGAGGGTGGGTGCAGAGGCTAGAGGAAAAATCCTCTGTCCCCGTCGAAGATCGAATCCCGGCTATCTGGTCTGTAATCATCCGTTATACTGACTGAGCTACCCCAGCTCCACACATAGTAAATAGTATTCTTATTGTAGTGTATTTCAGTAATTGTATTTGTATCCTTGATAACGAAAGAATGGCTTTGTTTCCATCAGTTATACGATTGGTAGAAATTTATTCATTGATGTACTTGAGGCAAATGAAATAATAATACTTGAAGTAATTGCTCTTAATATATTTCAGTTTGTTGATCTAAATCACACTTGTTATATTGTTGACTTCTTCACTTGACACTTTCCTGTCTTATAATTACTGGACTCTGCAACCAAGCAGCTGGTTTGTCAGACTTCGCAAGTGTTTTATACCACCGCAGAAACTGTGACTTCTGGTGTCATAATTTAGAATTCGGTAGAACATCTGAGAGGCTAGTGCACACAGCTTACTGATATTGTTGGATAACGTGAAAGGGTAGAGGCCTTGCGACGAGCTGATCACTCGACCAAGGAGTCCTACCAAATGTGAGCGAGCAAACCAAGAAGAGAGGAAAAAAGCATACCCTGCCGAAGCGGGACAAATGCTAGGAGCGGAGGGTGAAAGGGGGCATGTTTTCACTCTGCAGATTCATGACACTAGGCTTACAATGTTTGTAATAAATTATTCAGTGAGCAGAGTAAATTGAAGATGTGCCAGTACATGACAGTGGAGAGTTACCATTAGACTCCACTGTGTGTAATAAATAATTAAGTTGGGAGAGTAAGGAAAAGTAATATGTTTGCACTGCTAAGTTTAAGGTAACAGTCTGAAAATGTTACCTGGTTTCCTAGCTAAATATCACATTTTGTTCCACTCATTAATTCAGTATTTTCTACCCTGTCTGTCAAGTTACCTTCTTCACGAGCATCTGTGTTTTCCTCGTCAACATTTATTTGATGTTCTGTGGGATAGACACTTTACACAGAAATTATCTTGTACTATTAGAATTTACTTAATAGTTGGGTACATGTAATCTTCAAACAGGACTGTGATTTCAGCAGTCATGTTAAAGAAATTTGAAAAGTTTTGGCATAACGTGTGTATTATTTTCTAGGTGCAATATGTTATACCAAATATGGTAAATTGCCGGTCAAGAATGGTTCTAAATGTAAGGTTATGTTTAATAAACACGTTTTTATTGAAAAGCCTTACAAAATACCATATAAAGATTAAAATCATTACTTATTTTTGCATTATTGCTTAATTAAAGAATATATTGTAATTTAATATAGTGTAACACGTGTATTATATACTAATTATATTTGACTACAATATGAGAAATTGTAACTTCTGTACATTACTGTATTATAGTCTTAATTTTTATGATATAAGGTGACTTGCAAATTATATTATAACCTCCTGGAGATGGCCTGAGTGGTTAAAACTGGTCAGGTGTTTAATAATTAAGAAACTGATGATTTGTGTGTTTTATATTATGGTCCTGTATTGATTTGGACAGAATATAATAGCATGAACATTACAAGGAACTTAGATGAAATTAAGGGTACATAGGTGACCAGAGATGAAGTGAGAAGGCATACTGAAACAAGTAGAGAAAAAGCATACAAGATGACTGATTATGGGATCATATGGAGAAATACTTAGAAGGCTGTGTTTCTATATGGTGCAGTATGGCAGAAACAGCAGTGAATTATGTTTATGTTGACTTGTGAACATAAGCAGAGATAATAAGATTAAAATGTTGGTTCCTGTGACATATGTCCACTGTCCTCTTTCACCAAGTGTTTGCTGGAATTTGTATTAATGGAAGGGGCTATTCAGTTCATGGAATTTACTGAGGCAGAATATGGCTGACAACTTGATTTGGAACCATAGGGTGAGTTTGAATGTTCCTGTGATACTGGCCATATGGAAGCCACCAACCATGCCTATGATATTAGATAGGCACTCTTTATCTGTTGATACCTACATTAAAGAGGACTTAAACCTTGTGTGTTATTGTGGATATACAGACGCCTCTATCCATGTAGGATTTGAGGTATTCACGGCAGTGAGTCTGAAGATGGCTGCCTTTTGGGTTGTATCGCCATGTGCTGTCAGTGTGTTGGTTTTGTAAAAGGTGTTCTGTATGAAGACAATGTCTTGTCGTCGATGATGGGGATTTTGGATTTGTGAGGAAGTGTGACACAGTTTGTTTCATATATTTTTGGCAAAGAAGCAAGATGTTATAACAGGTGTGTTTTCATTATATTTTAATTTTAATAAATCTCATGTGAACTTCATCAAATTGCAGAAAAGCTGGCCTCAATATGCTGTGTTTACAAGATACATAATTTAATTTTAAAACAGTTTTTTTTTTTCAAGGAAAATTTTGACTGGCTCTCAGAGACATTCTGTTCCACAGATTAAAGAGAATACGAATCGCAGGTGCTACAAGTAATCATTTTGAAATATAGGCGGCGTATGACGTCACGATCGTATTGTTCTGCCATCTCTCCAACGCGACGGTGAACTACTACGTAAATATACGTAATAAAAATACCAAATAAGGTTGTGTTTCCGGCGAGCGAGAGGCTTGACGATTAGCGATATCTTTCGTAATTTGCGTCAACTTTGTTTAGGTAACCACTGTGTTGTGGTTAGATGTTACACGTGTGTTTCATCTCCCCAGTTTCGGATACAAGGGTAGCAGACGACGAAGAAGGCTTATATGTGCTGCCATCTTTATTTTCAAATCCTGCTACACAATGTCTGGCGGTAGGATGCTATAGGCAGATGCGTAAGAAGTCGGGGTAAGTGGATGGACGGAAAGACAACGAGCAAATATATATAGAAAATAGTGTCCAATAGACCCCAGGAACGTACAAATAAATACAGCACAGTTATGGTACATTTCAGTGGATAAAACATTAATGGATTAAATCAGGGTTAGGAAATCTGTAGGGTGCATTTGACGCTCGTAATCATTTAATGCAGCCCTTTATATGATTTGGGAATTAGCCAAGCAAACAATCGCAAAACAATATTTTAATGAAACGGCAATTTTTAGATTTATACCTGTAAGATTAAAGTAGCATTATTTTGCCGAGGTATATTTTACTGTTGTTAAATCCGTTTGACATTTAACAGTATGAACATTATTGTGGTAAAAATAACTGAAGTATTACAAAATTAACAGTTACATGAAATTAAGACTGTTTGAAAACTAACAGACATTTTCTTTACAATAAACTTGAGTTTTATGGAGAGAGAAAAGCTGTTCTTAAGTGAATACCAGCTCTACTTTTTAACTTCAAGACCTGCAGTTTCCATGTCATTGATTTTTTTCTTCTGTGGTCCTCGACGAAGCATTAATAGCCTTGAAGTACATAGTTTTTCCGCGATGCGCAAACCTGCTAACTATGGCGAAATCTATGTTTGCTATTACAACCCCAAATGGATATAGTGACTCCACTCTCTAAAGCTTTCACCGAAATATGACTCATACTTGAGCAACTTAATTGCCAAATCGTCCCCTCTCCCAACCCCCCCAGTAATAAAACGTTCATAACATCAGATTTAACTCGAAGGATAAATAAAAGAAGTGCGAGGTTGTGCCATAAATTTAAATATGCGGATTAAATTTTGTCAGGTTAGATAAATGATGATGTCATTGCTACTACAAACTGTTTGACCTTCTTGAGAATGTTCTGCCCTCTGTTAGCGATTTAGGCGACACATATGAGTCATTTCTTTAACTAACGGCTGTAAAGCAGATGTTTTACAAACTGCAGTAGTAAAACAGCCTAAAAGGCTTTTACCGAATTCCCGTGTTACGGAACTCGCTACATGCAATCCCTTTTCGAATGTTACGACGTGTTTATTGACGCTCCAAGTGGTGAAGTTACTCATGCAAGTTACTAAAATGACAATGATGAAATATAATTCAGTATTAAACGGTGAAGATTTGGTATTGTACCACAGGAAGAAAAGAGAATTTGTCTGACAAACTTATGTATTGTGTATGAAGTCGATACTGCAATAGTAAATTGTGATAATAGCTATGTCTGGACTGGTTCTGGGGCAAAGGCAGTATTCCATTACATTCTTTACTTGTCGCAAGATGTCTCTGAGCTTCGTTGAGGCTTACAATACATACGTTCGTGCCTGCCAGGCGAGGTATGGGGTTTTATGCGTGTTATATTCGAGGCATAGCAGTTTGGTGACGTCTACTGTAGTGTTTATTAGTCATAATTTCTGCCAGAATGGTGTAACACACCATAAAGAACTAACGCATCTGTAGATTTATATTAGGTAGGCCCACTTTCTTGGGAAGCAACTTGTTGAAAAATAACTACTATATTATGAGTCCAATTCACTCTCTTCTTGTTTTGAACATATACGAATTATTTTAGTGCATGACACACTTTATTAACAAACTTTATCATTTAGGAATTATTGATAGTCTGATACGCGAATGTCAACAGTTTATTTAGTTATCATAATTATTGATCCGTGACAGTATAAATTACCCTCTCCAGCTGATTTAGTAATTTAATATTTTTATAGCAACAGTTTATTTCCTTCTTTAAGTTTATTGCCAGTTCCTTGTTGCATCCTGGCTTTTCAACAGCTAGATGCCATCATCATGGAGAGGTTTTTTGCTTGCAGAACAACATTACGAAATTTTTCAATGCGATAATTGCCAGTCATGAATTAAGTTTCGTAACAGTACCAATCCTACATGATTGTACGTATATTGCACGGTAATTAAAAGTTTTTGCGATGAGTATTCTAGTCAGCGCAACCGTGAAGCTAACTTATGTCTTATGAGTCGGCTTAGTGAAGAGTGAATTGTTGTCTTTGGTCTCAAAAATACAGTATTTTAGTTTTCGTAAAAGTTCTATCCACAGGTTAAAATTCGGCCTTTGGTCTCAAAAATACAGTATTTTAGTGTTCGTAAAAGTTCTATCCACAGGTACAAAACCTTTCGCATTGTTTCTGTTGTGACTGAGGTTCGAACCAGATAATTACCGAATATAATCGTTATCGCTTGATTCGAAGTGCTTATTTTAACGTTCTTGATGCAGAAAGTTTGCAGGATTGCAAAAAAGTTTGTACAATCATACCAGAAGGTTAGGCCTTCAGATGAATCCTAGCCAGCTAAAAATAAGCTTATTCTGTATGATGCCGTTTCTCAATAGAGTTGCAAGGTTAATCATTAATTATTATGCCTCGTACTAGTTCAGGAAACGAGTTACAATATAAATGTTTTGTACTTCTTATTAGACTTGTTCATCCATTCAACAAGTGAGTTTTCGATTACGTCATCACATCACTCATCTGATGTCAGTTGAAAGGGGGAACAATTTAAAACTAGGATTCAGTATAAACAGATCGGCAAATTCTTCTGGGATATATAAGCTGTTTGATTGATTTCAGATTGCTTAACGACGCTGTATCGAATAGTTTGGGTACTAAGTTCAAGGTTACCGTGAGATTTTAGGTTTACAAGGGAAAAAAGCAGTAATTTGCTGGTAAATTCCTTCCGGCCATTTTGACTAGTTTATATATTTTCTACCCACAGTGCAATGCAATGACAGATAATATCGATTGTATCATGACAGAATGACGCGTTAACAAAATGACTGATTTACAAGATACTAAAGACTTACGCTTATTTTGGTTTGAAAAATATGCTTTATTAGTGTTTATACGCTAAAATATAACTTTATGTATCTCTGTATAGAGCAGCATCTTAATTATGCCTTTCTGGTATGAAAGGCACATGGCAGAATTATCCCGTATATCGGGGTAATTAGGTCAAATGTGCTTTTGCAAACTTTTGTCAAGAAATCACACGTAGAGCAGGAATTAATATAAAATTCTCCCTGTGTTGTATTAGTAATGAATTACTCACAAAAGATTCGGCGTTTAGTTTTTTTAAACAATGTTCATGAACCAAGAAAATAAATTTTCCCTTAAGGTGACGTTATTGGCCACACTTCCCCTAACAGCCAATTACGGAAGTCAGTGTTCCTAGCAAAGCTTCTGTGAACCTCATTTCTTGTAAGTAAAGTTTGTTTACGAAACTAACCAAATAACTAACTCCATAGAGCGGAGTTCTTGAGAGCTCATCGTTACAAATGTTGTTCACACAACATGAACCACTTTATTAGATTAAACATAACTGCCAGTTGCCTACCTTCAGCCTAGCAAATAATATTACGCCTTCCCCCATGTCAGTATGAACTAAGATGTCAATCAATATGGAGTTTATTTAAATGGATGAAGGAAACAACTTTGTAGACCTAGGAAATGATTCAGATAAAATTCGGTGTTTGGGAGCTACCTAAATTTTCCGACAGATATAATTTGGTTCGTTTCTATCTTAAATAACGTCTAGTTTCCATCAAACTCAATTATTAATTTTTACAATTTTTGTCAGAACAGCTGTAAAATCTTGCCACAGGACTTTAAAACATAGGCTTAATATTTAATTTAGAGCCACACATTCTTCTGAGCTTCTCTATTAAGACACGTATCACTCAACGCAAGCAAAACATTGAAAGAAAACGTATTTCTACTATCGTAATTATCTTAAGTTTTTATAAATTACTATACTTTAGATATTTTAGATCTCATCTCTACCATAGGATCTTAACAATATTGATAAGGCGAACACAATTCAAATTTCATATCTGTTGCTTTCAAACAAGCTTCAAGAGAGTACATGAATGCAAATTAATTCGGACTTCATCTGCTGCTGTACAATTGAACGATGTAGCTACGAAGACAGCAGACTATCGTATCTTGTGTGACGTCATTAAAGTCAGAAACTATCGCTCTTAGTTATCGACTGAATGCCCTTTCATAAGATGTTACAAGCGACTAAGTTTGCCCAGACGTGGTTTGAATGCAAAGACAATCATTTATCTAAGCCTTTGTAATCCCAGTGATGGGTGATAGCTCACAGCTTCCATGAATTGTTATAGCAACAGATGTAGAACCAGAGTAGCTAGAGGGTCACTTCCGCCTCACGCGCTATCATTATAGGACAAAGACAGTGCCTGGATATTTGTGGCTGTCCTCAGTACATGATATGGCTTATTCAATGCCTTTAACTGGCTTTTATGTCTATCAGATTCATTCATGACAGCGAAGTCTACAATGCCTGGATAACCAATGTGGCTAGGTTGGCAGTATAACTGCACAACGTTTGTGGTAAACACGCACGTCTGCCAATAGCAGATTTCTATCAGTAATAAGTCAACATCAGGGCAAGTAAAACATTCAGATTTGCGAATATCACATTTGAAAAACGTGTACTGAAATCTGAAATATATTAATCCACGTCTGTCGTGATAAAATGTTTAGAGACATACCAACGTAACTGAACGACAGATGGCAGCACCACACATTTACCCACTCTATGGTTCAGAATATTTAAAAAAAATCGATTGTATACTCTTCTCGTCAAAGAATAGTCCAATTTTCGAAGGTTCATCACCGTGTTCACAAAAGGCCGCCACCGGAACCTATCATAAGCACTCAGTTTAGGTCCGAAGCGCTTTTAGACAATTCGTAACAAATAAGTTTTTACTGTGAGGGGTTGTTTGCCCCCACGCTCAAACCCCAAGCTGTAGGACCATACCTTGTCAGCTGTCCGCGACTGCTTTTCAACATATTTGCAGTTATCTTCCATGTCTGGAGGCCCTGGGAGTGGCTAAAAAGTGTTTAATTTCAAAGCGAGTGTTTTAAAGGCAAAGAAACGAGAAATTCATTTAGTTAACTCTTTAAATGTCGTATTCGAGATGTATTGGTCTCTTAATCTTTTAGTGTTGTTACGCAATGCAAAAGCTTATGACGTAGGGTGACCTGTTCTGGCAGTAGAGATGTTACGTTACCACAAATTTATACAAAAGAAACGAAGACAATTTTGTCTTTAAAAGAACTCGGTATGGAAACAGCTAGGTTTTATATGTTTTAAAAACAATAACAATTCTTATTACCTCAGTGGTAGCGTGGTGTAGGACGTGGATCTTTGCAACTTGGATGCTGGAATAGACCAGTAGTATTCAACCTAGGGTACGCGTGCCCCCGGGGGTACGCGAAGACATCTTAGGGGATACGTGAAATTTAAAAAAAATATTATTTTATGATAAACACTGAATAATCAGTAATGTAATTTATTTAATTTATTTTAGATGTAGATTATATACTATGTATAACTTGAATTATACACCAACGACTTTGGGGGTACAAAGTTGAAGAGAAATTATACCTGGGGGGACGCGAACAAAAAAGGTTGAATACCACTGGAATAGACGATTCGAATCTCGCTTAATATATGGATGTTTTGTGTGATACTGACTGTTTTAGGTAGAGGCCATGCGATGGGCTGATCACTCGACCAAGGAGTCCAAAAAAATTTATAGAAGATTCATAATTTCAGAAGTAATTCTGAATTTGAACAAGCCACAAGACCTTATCCGTTAAAACTGTTGATGATGACAGATTCTGATGGTGTCATTTGCTACATACGTGATATAATGGTTGTATACTTGAAAGGATGTGATGACATAGCAGGTCGTCTGATCTTAATCCCAATGCTTACACATATCCCGATGTTAGGAATTTGTAAGGTTAGGATAAGTTTATAGCAGATCATCTTACAAGTAAAATCCGTAAAAGAGATGAGTAAATTACTTTCAGATGTGTAAGAAATGCGATGTAAAGCATAATACGAGGCGCGTCCACAAAGTAAGTTTCCCACTCGTCCCACAGCTAGCAAACCTTATATTGCGCGAAGCGACTGTGCGTACGTGATAGAGCAATGACGTAGCATGGAGCATGCACTAACGGCACTTCCCGCGTTCTCACAGTAGCATCGTTGCAGCTGTTGAAGATGGAGGTTCTTATTCCAGCTCCCGCCGACTGTGAAGTGCGGTCAGTGATAACGCTAGGCCGCACCCGGCTCGACGGACAGCAAGTCTCCTGCCGGAGTTCAGCTGGGAGGTGTTTAATCATCGACCCTACAGCCCGGACCTCGCTCCCAGTGATTTCCATCTTTTCCTACCCCTCAAGAAATTCCTGTCCGGTCAGCGTCAGCGTTTTGAGAATGACAGAGAGGCGGAGATGGTTGTCACACAGTGGTTCCAATCCCAGGCGGCAGACTTCTACGACACAGGTATTCAAAAGTTGGTCCCACGGTATGACAAATGTCTCAATTCCGGTGGCGAATATGTTGAAAAATAGCTGTATCTGTTGCAATAAATATTTCCATGAAACTGTGTTTTGTTTCTGTAAACGGCCCCAGGGAAACTTACTTTGTGGACGAACCTCGTATATGCATAAACATTGATTTCCAAACCTGATAATGCATTATTATAGCTTAAAACAGGAAGTATATACTGAAAAATACGTTCCGAAATAAATGCGTCGAACTTCGCGGCCAAATAGTTATCACGGTTTGGGTAAGTCGCAGAAGGAACAGTTTTGAGGATCATGTACCAGAGAGTGTAAGTAAATTATCTTAAATCTGATACTAAAATTTGCTGTATCGGTTAGTTAATTCGCGGGAATGAATCTTGGCCTCACTTCTAAGAGCTCTCTGATAAAAAGATGGCTGTTTTCTGGGTTATAGCGCCGTGTAGTATAGTTGAAGTTAACCGACGTTTCAGAGGTCCTTGCCGCCGTGAGAACTTCAAATCTCACTTTCATTGAAATGTCATGAAATTTCCTTCATGGGTTTTGGCATAGTATACCAGTCATTGGGACGTTTGTCTACTGATTCTCTGTTATATTTTAGGGTATTTTTGAGGTGACTGCTTAATGACCCGCTCACAGTTCTAATAATGGAAATTACGTAGTGTTATACAACTTTTCCCGATAAGCCTTTCCGACAGGACAGCACAACACGAAGAATAAAAACACGGCCCCATATCCATGTTTCGAGTAGTATTCGAACCCATGATCACCGTGTTTGAAAACGACCCACCCTTTGGAAGCTACGAGTAGTGTGTAGAGATGCTTCAAGCATACAAGCGGACTTCCTGACCCCTGTAGGCAGGCAAAAAAAATACATCTGACATGCGCAATGCTGTAAGAATACACGTTGCCACTGACTCATCTCGATAATCATCAGCAATCTCACGGAAAGCCACAGAACTCCACAGAAGTTTCATGTACCGCTATTGTAAGAGAAAAAAAAGAGAAGACGATCGCTGGAGCGCTGACTCTTGGTTCGTCTTGTCTCCCGCCTGCTGGCGCTAGTGGTCTGCATGGTGTTTCGAGGGGCGGGCAGACGCGATCGTTTAAAATCTTGGGTACATTCTTGACGGTCACACCGGCCGGCGAAGAAGGAGTAGAAGTTGGACGAGAAATACGCGTTCGGTTGCTACATTGAGTGTGCTCGCGTGTGTGTGTATATCTAGTGAGCTTTACCGTGAAAAGGGAACATGGGCTTGGAGCTCTTTTGACGTGTTACAGAAAACGATAATACAGTCGATTAACGACTCTAACTCGTAGTAAACTCGATACAAAGTATGGCAAATTTGCCGCCTCTAGACCCTGAACTCTCGATAGGGACGAAACTGGTTCGTCATATGAAAGTGAAAAGAAGAATGTGTAGTGCACAGTTCTCAAGGGCTCAAGTGTGCCTGCTTCTGCTTGTTCTTTCGTCGTTGGTCATCACAACAATCGCAGCTTTAGAGGTGAGTGCTGGGCCCATTTGTTTCCAGTTATCTACTTGACGTTCTGACTTCGAAAGTGACGCGTTTAACCTAAACCGTACCATGTCTCTCTAGGAGTATGAAACGAAATTTTGTTTCTTTACCAATTCATAAAGCGTTAAGTGGACAATTGGTTGACCTCGGTTATGAAACTCCGAAAGTGTTACGGGATACCAACTAAACATTATGTAACGGAAGAATGTACTGCAGCTACGCACTCACAAAACTTTTACTTAGTTCAGATTGTACACATGTGCACCTCCACGTTTGTTAGTAGTGGAGGGATGATAATAATGCCAGAATAGTTGTGGAGCGTTTTGCCTTATTTTATTAATGTCTTACAGTATCCTAAATAATAAATGTTACTACTAAAATGGCCTTGGTAATATTTCATCAAATTTCTGCGGCTATTATGAATGTGACTTATGGGATGTGGCGGCATATCTTCTGGTAGAAATCGACCGACGTTTCAGAGGTGCTTACTGTCACCATCATCAGAGCTATGATCGAGTAACTTCGATCAGTTTCTGCAAGAGACAATACGCACGCCGACAGTCATCTTCTTGAAATGGTCTTTGTTGAAAATGTCAAATTACTTTTTAATAATATTGCTGACTTTCGTAGAGGGCTATGTGTTTTTACAAGTTAATTACAAATATCAGTTTTTAATAATTAATTTATGAGTGAAACTACCGTCGAATATTAATTGCTCTATTTATCAGTTTGCCGCTGTAAAATATAAATAATTGCAACAAATTTATGGTGCAATTAACATTAGTATGATCGGGCCCAACTGCTGTTTATATTCAAGCAGAAGGGATGGGTAAAACTCAGATGAATATTTTTTGAAGCCAATTACTGTCGATGATACTTCAGACATGTATTTTCTTGCGTTTGGTAATAAGTTTTTCCTATGATATTTGGCGACACGTATGAAGAGATCAGGCCTATGATAACCTTTCGGGCAAGAAAGGCTGATAAGTATTTGTGTGATTACCACTCAGTAATATAACTGGTCTGCAGTACATTGCACGTCAAGACGAATGAAATTCACATATCGCCTAATATGCGTGTCATATATACCGCATAAATGTTTTAAATGTTTTTGTGTTTAATGGCCATTTCCTATTTACACGACGTTTCGAAGGTGCTGCCTTTTAGAGACCTCTGAAACGTCGGCCTACTACTTGACGGCGCATTGACCCAGAAGGCTGTCTCATCCATTAAAATGTATGTGGTTCATTGGAAATGGGTTTGTCGTTTTATCATTCGCTGTAGTTATTTTTTTTCGTCACTTTGTCTCAGTGGCAGTTTATGAGGTTCTTGTAAGCGATTTCTGCGCCCGGGGTATGTCAGTGGTTGCATTGGCTGTATTTGGCCCACTAATAGCTACATTTGACTGAACTCGGCGAAGAGTTAAAACCCGTCTGATCCTGCCATCTTTTTAGCGACATTAGGAACCATATTACGTACAAGTTTATGCGTACTGAGCTGTTTTGGTCAAGATGTACTGCGCGTAGATGTTTTAGTGACTCTGTCAACTTGTCCAGTAGGATTGTGCTTCGGAGTGACGCGGTTCGAATCTCGGACAGTTTACCGGCTATTCGATTCGAGAATTTTCGTTGTGTTTTTCAGCCACCAGGGGAATGCTGGGGTGGTTTATCGAAGCATGCGAATACCATTCCTTCTCTTGCCTACCTGCAGTTTAAATGACATCTAAATTAAGCAGTAATTTCTACGAACAATGCCCGTATTTCGTTACATCGCTATAAGCTTCAATAGTGACAAATTAATTTAATTATTAATTTTTAAGTCCAAGAAATTTAGGTGTCTTGGCCTGTCTTGTTATGGTAGTTGCTATCTGGATAAGAGTAAAGACCGAGTTCGATAGACAGCTTTTACATTACTCAATGATTTTCTTCAACAGTCATTAGTGAGATGTTTGTCACCGTTTTTGCTTAGGTAATATTTCAGTATGATCTTTCATTTTATAAATCGTCATGTATCGAGATGAACATCGATTGTAAGAAATTGCAGATGTTGACAGAATTTACGTGGCATAGATGTAGGGAGCTATTTGACGGAAGGCGCGCGGGTAGTGAGGTCTGAGGGGGACTTTTGACTATGTGTACAGTTAAGACATCAAACTGTGCGTTGCTGTAGCAGACCGGACGAGCACATGGATTTGATTGGTCGCGTACGAGACGGAGTACGATCACGAATCCATACACGTACGATTCGTTTAGTGACGTAACAGGATTGCTCTTTTCCAAAATGTGTTGATACCAGAAGAAATTACTTTCTTTTACAAGCTTTTTAATTCTTGTAGGCGTTTATTAAGTATTTTGAGCTCCGGAAAACCGTAGGTTTGTCCAAAAGATAACTCATAGTAGCCATTACAGCCCATAGTCTGTTTCTGACATTTGTCTCAATTTGAATCATGAGGAGAATATCTTTATGGAGCAGATTTCTTTTTGAAAAGTTAATATTCCCTCAGCTGATTTAAAATGTATCGCTTTAATATTATTTTAAGGTTCATTAGTGTCCACAGTAGCCTCCCGCTGGATTCCCTTCTGAGCCAGTTCAATTCATTCCAAATCTGATGTCATTTCGGGTAAGACGAGGGATTATGGACTTGGAATGTTTCCGCCATCTTTTATAACAATTTTTCGTGGAAATTGAAGTAAGCTGTATGTTGTTGGTGTCCGTATGTTTTAAATACGTCATTAAAAAGGATAAGTCAGGGTGGATTAGAATTTAATGAAACTTACGCTAATATTAATTTATTAAATTATATTCTAGCGTCATGTTGAGAAATATAAGAAACTGTATTAAATATGTCACAGGTACCAAGAGTAAAAGCGTGAAATCTGTTCCACGCTTGTAATATGGATTCTTTAGTAGCACGTAAAGACAGAATTAAGTAAATAATCTGAAATGTTAAATAAAGTTTCAACATTTTGTGACTTCCATTACAAATCGCCGGTACTGGGTATACAAGCAGCATACGTTATACGCCATTTCGTCACACTAGTTTTAAAATATCCGCGATTTTATGTCGCTATCATGAGGAGCTTCAATATTTTATCCGTCGGATTTTAAAGCCTATTAACCTATGTTGAACCTTCTTCTCCAGGTTTATGAGGTATTGTGATGCACATGGTTGGATTAGCAATAAAAAATTCTGACAGCAATTTAACGTCAATATGGCGTTTGAAGATGGCTATGTTCTGGGCTGTAGCCTCATATCATACTTAATGTGGCGAGTATTATACTTTTCCACGCAGGAACGTAATCCCGTGTATAATGAGAGTCGTTTTTATACAGTAACATGTCTCCGTGTGGTACCAACGGTTTGTTGATTCCCGCCTACGATATTTAAAAGTAACTTGGAGATGGAATGAACTGAGCGTAAGATAAAGTCAATATTTGAAGTTGTACAAATAGAAAACCCGTGATGGTCTAAGCTAGCCTTGAAAAAAAGTACGTGGGCCGAGTGTTATTTGTTTATCTCACACAGTTGATTCATCGACTAGGCCAGCTTGCTTGTAATCGTAATATGCATTGAACTTCGGTAGAATAAGTGAGACAAATCTTTCCAGAAACACGCTGAACATTACAATACATTCGTCTCCGCTGTTGAAGTCCCCTTCCGTGTTCGCCACCCGCCAACATCACTGGCATCAACTTAGTTCATATTACCGCAGTTCTGAATGTGATACGACTTTCACGTTTGTAAACATACGAGGTGAAAATTAAAATACTTGGATTAACACGTGGCTCTGATAATTTGTCGCAAATCCTACACAGACTGCTCTAGTGTTGAACTCTGACCTCCGTATTAAGAAGCTGTTCATTAAATTCCTGATAAATCTCAGTTTTTAGTTTAACAATTTTATTCTTTGCTAATAAAATATTGGATTGTTGATTTAACCCTCTGTACATAGACCGTTGTAAAGATCAGCTGATTAATGATTTTTAAGTACGTAAACACTGTGCAGTGAGAATTATATAAGGTCCATGTACAAAATTAAGAGTTACTGATTTTTACAGTAGACGGAAAATGTATTTTCCAAAGGCTGCATAGACTTACAAGCATTAGGGAGGCTTATCGTATTATATTTAGGGCTGTTTTAGTTCTAACGTTTACTAAATTAATTTGTCTGAATTTTATAATTCTTTTGTAATACGTTAATCCTTAAATGGGAATGACTTAATGCCATCAGTTTTTTAAGCGCAAATAATATTTACCTACAATTACGGACACTTGTTCCCTGTCTTCATTAATTTAGTATGATTGGTGAAGTTCTCTTGTCATATTCACTTGTTAACATATTGGACTCGGCGTAAGGGTTTTGACAGATATCTGTATTATTAATTAGAGCCAAATTTATTTAATAATTCCGCTTTAAATCTTAGTGGTAACTATAGACCGATATCTCACTTGATATAAGTTACTAACTTTTCATTTTGCATTTGTGTTTCATATGTTTTTAAGTGTGAACAGCGTTAACCAGTTGATCTTTGTAGTGGTGAAATGTGTTTTCTTTGCGGTACGGACTGAATTCTTCAATGTTTAGACGAACTTCCGCTTGTAAGGTTTAATATCATTGGTCGTGGTTGATTTATTTTAAGAAGTGCGCCTAATTATATGCTGAGTTTAATAGATGTGTAAAGAGTTCACTTGGAAGACCAAGACAGTAATTACGTAATTATATCGATGTGAATTGCTTTAGGGTAGGATCGAAAGCGGAGTTTGTTGGTGATTGTGGTTTCGAAAGGGGTTTTTGGTGGATGTTTCTGTTGCTGTGGATTGAATAGTTAGCTAGAGAAATATTTTTTAAAGTTTAATTATATGTTTTTCGTCATCTGCGTGAGGTATAAGGGCATGGGTCAGTGGACGTTGAGGAAAGATACGGTCGTAGCCTATTTTAAACATTTGTTTGAAGAAGCAAAATGATCACGAGAGAACCTTTTTGTCG